GTTCTGTTCCCTCTGTTTTTCTTCCAGGAATATTATGATCACATACAATCATGCTGAAATGCAGTTATTGAAGTCCACCAGTAATTTAATTGGCGTTTTGCGCTAAAACAGGCAGCCCAGGTTTTCCTTTTTTCTTTATCCATTACTTTGTTATAGGTGAAATTTCTCGCAGTTCAGGCAAAGGTAAAGATTGATCATTTTCCCCATCTATATTTGTGATGTATCTAGGAAGAGTGTTAAAAACAACCAGAAACCTTTAGAGCTGCCCGTGGTAATTGGTAAGACAGAAAGCAGGGAGTGTACTCTTTAGCAGTGAAGACATTAAGAACTGTACCCTTATCTAAAGTGGCTTTGAAAATTTCCTCAAGAAATTTGATACAACACCTGGCTGGAAGAAATAAAAGAAAGAACCCTGTGTGTACCTCAGTGTTCTTTAGGACACAATGTAACGCGTAGTGCAGAACTGATTGTGATGGAATCCCAGTCACTGCTTCTTACAAGCCATGAGCACTGGGACCAGCAGATGCCTTAATAGTTACAGCTGATCATGGTTCAAGTCCTGGACCTGGCAGCTTAAAATGTGGGGCATGTGTGCGTGTGTGCCCAAAATCCTGAGAGGAGAATGGAGGAGAAAAAATTGCAGTGGGTTTCTGCTTTCTGTCTCTCCGTCTCTCTGGTGAGCATGTGCATCCTATAGCAAAAATCCCTCTAAGAATAAATAAATAAATAAATAAAAAGTTGTGAGCACCTTTCCCGCTATTATTGAGAAGACCTGTGGGAACACCGACCACATAAACAGGGTGTTTTCTCAAACTTCATGGAGATGGGATTAAAATCAATCAAAGGAAAATGTTCTAAAGCAAACTGCTGCATAATTAATCCCCCTTGTTTCCAAGAGTATGTTGTAAAGGAAGTTATGACTGATCAAAGGAATTGCTAATAGATCTCCAAAGCTTTTTGGAGGTTTATTGCCTGCTAAGTTCTTTCAACAGATCTCAGTTAAATGGACTGTGAAAATGCTCCTTAAGGTAGGAGAGATGAAAATGATCGACTTTGTGTCTCTGAGTGTATTACTCTGCAACACTTTCCTTATCTATATGCAACGCTTTTGTGTGTGTGTGTGTGTGTGTGTGTGAGTGTGTGTGTGTGTGTGTATGCACTGGAGGGGAAGAGTTGGACTAAGTGACCTCTAATTCAACTTCTCAAACTTTAATGACTATACAAATCACAGATTCATACAGATTCTAATTCAGCAGGTCTGGAGTGGCCTGAAATCCTGCATTTCTTTTCTTCTTCTTCTTCTTTTTTTTTTTTTTACTTATTTTATTTTTAAAATTTATTATTATTATTATTTATACATTCAATCACTATATGTCCTTCATTTCTAACAGGCTTCCAGGCTTCCTGGTGATACCCAAGCTGCTGTTGCAGGGGCCACATGTGGGTGTAGAGGGGCTCTTCTCTGCATCCCTGACACTTTTTGATCTTATGATGATTTTGTTAATAGCACCCAGGCTACTGATGATCCCTAAGTATAGCTCTTCACATTGTAAAACCCTGCTAAGGCTGCCTTTTTTTTTTCTTTTCTTGGAGAGGTTTTGTTGCTATAGGGCGTGTGCACTCGCCAGAAAGACAAGAGACAGAGAGACAAAAAGCGAGAAATCACCCCCCAGGGGGGATGGCCATGCCGCAATCCCTTCTCCTCCATTCTCCTCTTGGGATCTTGGGCACGCATGCACATGTGCCTGGCATGAGTTTAAGTCGCCAGATCTGGGACTCAAACCACAGTCGACTACATGGGAGTCCAACGACATAGCCATTACACTAACTGCTGGTCCCAGGACTGCCTTTTGAGAGAAGAAATCACCAAGATGTGAGGAACAGCATTGGCAGAGCCAACCTGGACTGGCTGAGGCAGAGGTTAGGGGTTGGACATACTGGGCATACCTCTGAGAAGCAGCAGATAGAACGAGTTGTCAGACAGCACATGAGGTGTGAGAGAATGGGGGAGTCAAGGCTGACGCCAAAGATTTTGGCCTACTCAAGTGATTGAATGGACTTCCTACTCATTGACCAGAGAGGACTGTGGGAAGAGCTGGGTTGGGTGGCTGAATGAGTTGTGAGATCAAGAGAAAAATCTGAGTCTTGGGACCAGCAGTTAGTGTAATGGCGATGTCGCTGGACTCCCATGTAGTCGACTGTGGTTTGAGTCCTGGACCCGGTGGCTTAAACTTATGCCAGATGCGTGTGCGTGCATGCCCAAGATCCCAAGAGGAGAATGGAGGAGAAGGGATTGTGGCATGGCCATCCCCCTGGGAGGTGATTTCTCGCTTTCTGTCTCTCTGACTCTCTCTGTCTGTCTGGCGAGCGCACGCGCCCTATAGCAAAAACCTCTCAAAAAAAAAAGGATTAGTTTGAGTGTACTAATTTATGATGCGTGTTACACATTCTAAAGACCATGTCCATAGACTACATGCATTGGGAGGAAGCAAAGATGCCTAACGTTAGAGATAAACTTGGGGAGTCATCAAAGTATGCATGGTTTTTACAAGAGTTATCTTGTTCAAAGATTGCAACAATCCTATGGATTCAATGATTTTTTATGCTCATTTTAGAGATGAGGTGACAAAAGCAGAAACAAGGCTAATGCTTCAAGATCATGTGACCACTAAGTAAAATCTGGCAGTCTGCCTCCAGAGCTAGGACGGGCTGAGGACCAACGGTTTCATTGCAGTTAGTGATGAGGAGGTCATCAGCGATGTTGATGCGAAGATATCAGGAGTAGAAAGCAGGTAGAAGACAGAGTCAGGACGAAGTGGCTGACCAGACTTGAAGCATTAACATGGAGGTCTGGTTTATGTAATAGCTTTGGTGAATTCATTGCTCAGAATGCTTGGGCTGCTGACCAAATCTAACTGCTGGACTTGCAAGTCTGGACAGACCCGGGCAAGGTAGCTGCCAGGCTGTGAAGGTCCACAGGCAGTCAAAACTCTATTTTGTCTCTCTAAGTGCTCAGAAAATGTTTGCATTAATAGAGAAGTATAGATTCTCCCCATAAAATCCTAGAGTCCTTACCCTAGCAGTGAGCTTTAGCAGATGTGTGCGGGCATGGTGTGTGTGGGGACAGGGTGAATACTGATATTAATCTAGGAAGGAAAGTCATGGGGCCAGCTAAGCATACAGTACCTTGTGTGAATCACACAGGCATAGTCCTAATGAGAGAGCCAATGTAAATGAATTTCCAGGGTGAAGGAAGTGGGCATACCTCTTAAGACAGTGGCTGACAGAGCAGCTATGCCGTACTGAATGCAGAACTTCAGCCTCTTAGTTCTAAAAGGCAGGGTGCCTAGTTAAGTGGAAAAATTTTCCAAGGCAGTGCATCCTCATGCTTTGCATACAGGGACTGAAGCCTAGAGAGATAACTGTGGCCATGAATCCAATCCAAGTTAATGATACAAGTCAGGATTTGCATCCTTGCTAGACGATGAGCAAATTATGTGACTCATCTATTTTTGCTGGTGATAGTATATGCTTCATAATTTTTTTTTTTGTTGCATGTGCATTCACTAGAGAGAAGACAGAAAGAGTGGGAGAAAGGAAGAGGAAGAAAGCACCCCCTCAGTGATGGAACATGGCAATGCAGCCATCCCTTCTCCATTTCTCCATCCTGTTGGGATTCTGGGCATGCGCACACATGCACCTAGCATGTTTCTCAAGCTGCTGGGGCTGGAATTCAAACCACAGACAACTGCGTGGGATTCTACTCCCTTAACGACTAGGCTACAGAGCTAGTCCATAGACATTTTTGTTAAAGAAATGAAGGTTAAATAGTTGTTGATATCAAAAAGGCTCTGCAAACTACATACATGAGGGCCTGATGACCTTTGAACTCTCGTTTTTTTTTTTTTGTTTGTTTGTTTGTTTTTAATTGCCAGAGCACATGTGCTTGCCAGAGACAGAAAGAGAGGGAGAAAGCATCCTTCTCCCCAGTGGGGTATGGCAATGCCTCAATTCCCTATTCTCCATTTCCCTATGCTCTCGGGATTGTGAGCATGCATGTGCATGTGCTCAGGGTTTGTCAAGCCACTGGGGCCAGGATTTAAACGATGGCTGGACATGTGGGATCTGGCTCCTTCTACCACAAGGCAATGGAGCTGGTCCCTTCAGCTCTGGTTTTAGCAGTGGTTCTTTCTTCATGTTGGCAAGGTATGGTATGTAGCTAGCATTTAATAAATGCCTTTGAGAAGGCCAGCAGGTGGCATTGTGGTTAGGGCAGCTGGATCTCACGTGACTGACTGTGCGGTTTGAGTCCTGAGCCTGGCATCTTGAAAGACACACTGAACATGTGTGTGCATGTGCATGTCCCAAATCCCAAGAGGAGAAGGGATTTTGACATGGCTTTCCCCTGCCAGAGGGGGAACTTACATGCCCTATAGCAAAACACACACACACACACATGCACCATTAAAATGTGTTTCAGAAATTATTAAAACAAAGGCTTAAGCTATTAGAAGATTAAATAATATTAATAAGTAATGTTTGGCTGGATTGTATATATCAAGTTTTGAGAGTCTTTGTTGTCTCTTCCGGGGAAAGAGCCAAGTGTGAGGCCCATACTTCCCTTGCTTGCACCACCGCCCACCTGGTGCCAGGTACCTCGGGTGTAGCACCAAGAACTTCTCTGTGGTATGGTTTACTAATCTAGTCTTGGTCGGGGGAAAATGAGATGTTCGCAAAAATGTCTAGAAGTGACTCCTAAATCCCAATATAGCTAAGTCCAATGGGTATGAACACTCAGGAGACAGAACTCAGGGAAATGTGAGAGTCCAGTCACTGAAATCGACCAGAAACAATGCCCAGGTTTCCTCCAGAATAGCAAACACTTGTCCAGATTGAATTCCAGAGCTAGCAGAGAAAGAGAAAGGACTGGAAATGGACTTCACCCACCCGCTGACCTGATCCACGTGATTCACCCGTGTTGGGGCGACTCCTTCACTCACCGCTGTTGCTGCGTTTCCTTGGATCATACCCCCCTCCTGGCCCATCAGCTTCTTCAGGAACCTCCACGAGATCTGAAGTCTTGTAGGAAAGAGGAAACAGCAATGGAATGAGCAATGTCGTATCAGGAGGCCACTTGATGTCATCAGTTTTGATGTTTGTGATGCACTGGAGTGGCTTTTGGGCTGGGGGTGAGCTAAGGTGGAGTAAGCATACCACGTAAGAATCCAATTATTGCTATCTTGTCAATCTGGCTACTTCGGAGAGATTGCATGTCCCCTTGGGGGCACCAAACATCCCTTCAGGTGTCTGGCTGGCTCAGGCTTGACCATACTTGGTACCCAATGAGTGTTGAATGGATGCATCCATTGGCTACAGTGAGGTTTTCCCAGTAACAGACAACAGAGAGGAATTCCACACAGATCTTGTTGCTTAAAATTTCCAATAAAACTACAGCTGTGTCTACAGATGAGTTTTAAATATTAATTATAGAGAACAAGATATACTCATGAGGGATGCACTACTTAGGGAAGACTTAAATGCTATTTCCATTGCTGAAAAAAGAAAACCTGTCTTTTATTGCCAGAGTGTGTATACACTGAGGAGAGAGAGAGGAAGGAGGGGAGAGAGAAAGAGAAAAGAGAGAGAGAGAGAGAGAGAGAGAGAGAGAGTATGAATGAATTCCCTAATGGAGTGTGGTTCCATTGCAGTATTTTTTCCTCCATTCCTCTTTCCTGTCAATAAAATTGATTACTTTTATAATACTTTTTCTCATTTTTTAAATCTTCAGTAAGAGATGTCATAAGCATTCTTCCAGCTAGGTTAGAGAAATAACAGCAATAATAACAAACATAACACTGAAAGTACTCTAAATAGCTAATGACTCCTGGCAATTTAATGCTTGCTGTTTTCAAGTACTTTCTATGTATCATCTCATTGATTCTTCACAAGAACCCTATGATAGACCCATTTTTCAAATAGGAATCTGAACCCAGAGAGGATCAGTAACTACCTGAGGTCCCGCAGCTAGTAAGTGGTAGAGTTGGGGTTACGAAGCTCAGTCGTTGCCTCCTATGAATGAATTCCCTAATGGAGTGTGGTTCCATTGCAGTATTTTTTCCTCCATTCCTCTTTCCTGTCAATAAAATTGATTACTTTTATAATACTTTTTCTCATTTTTTAAATCTTCAGTAAGAGATGTCATAAGCATTCTTCCAGCTAGGTTAGAGAAATAACAGCAATAATAACAAACATAACACTGAAAGTACTCTAAATAGCTAATGACTCCTGGCAATTTAATGCTTGCTGTTTTCAAGTACTTTCTATGTATCATCTCATTGATTCTTCACAAGAACCCTATGATAGACCCATTTTTCAAATAGGAATCTGAACCCAGAGAGGATCAGTAACTACCTGAGGTCCCGCAGCTAGTAAGTGGTAGAGTTGGGGTTACGAAGCTCAGTCGTTGCCTCCTGAGCCTGACTGTTCTTGAGTCCTGTGGTTCAACCAATGGTGCACTGGAGCAGCTCAGGGGCTGGTGGTGAGAGCCTTTGGGGTCAGCACTTCGCTAGTGTAAAAGTGGTCACAGGAGGTGTACCGTGGATATTGGCAAATGCTACAAATCAGGGTCCCGTTCCAAGCTGGTACTTAAACATTTACCAGCATGCCACTGATTGCCTCTTTCAAAGAGCCAGCTGTCCTGGCTGCTGTCTGCCTGACTCCATCCTCTTCAAAAGAGGAATTTAAGAGGCCTTGAAGGAGGGCCACATTTTGAAAAAACGATGTATTTATAGCTTATCAGAGAGAAACAACTAACTTTTTGGCTCTCTCAGACAGCTCTAAGGCACTTTAGAACCACCCTCCAGAGACAAATTTTTTGTTACCATTTAACTTAGGGATTTTGTTTTCAGCCATTCTTACTTTCATGATACATTAGAAAGAAGAAACAAATAAAAATCACAGGAACTCCAAGTCATTTGTTCCCTGTTCCCCTTTTATAAAACCATTTTTTAGAGGATGCTCGCACTCTCCAATGAGAGCTAGAGAGAGGGAAAGTGAGAAAGCACCCCCCGTGGGGCATGGTCAGACCTCAATCCGTTCTCCATATGATCCACCTTTCGAAATCTGAGGCACCCATGCACATGCATGGGTGCAGTTGGCCATGTGGAATCCAGCTGCTTTAACCACCCACACCATGAGCTGGCTGCTTGTTTCCTTTGAAATCCACCATGTCTGCCTCAAAGTCGCTTTGCAGAGAATTTATATGAATTTCCTCTTATGAAATGGAAGATTATTCAAGCTAGTCAACTACTTTCAGGACATCCTTTGAATTTGGTTTCTGCTGGCTTTCCCCAAGTCATCGAGCCTTTTATATTCTAGAACGTTGGAAAGCACATTAAAGAAAACATCATGATTTGGAAATGACCAGGCAATGGCTTTTGGACAACGTCGAACAAAGGCCTCTATAGCTCTGGAAGAAAATAAACTTGGGGACCAGCAGTTAGCGTAATGGCTATGTCACTGGACTCCCACGTAGTAGACCACGGTTCGAGTCCTGGACCTGGTGGCCAGGTTTGTGTGTGTGTGTGCCCAAGATCCTGAGAGGAGAATGGAGGAGAAGGGACTGCAGCGTGGCCATCCCCCCTAGGGGGTGATTTCTCATTTTCTATCTCTCTGTCTCTGTCTGTCTGGCGAGCGCACGTGCCCTATAGCAAAAAACTTCTCAAAAAAAAAAAAAAAAAAAAAGAAAGAAAATAAACTTGTAAACAGAGCTGTGCTGGGTAGGCATATGTTTGCTTCAGGATATAACAATACTAAAAGAATGGCAAGAGACTGAAGTTCATTACCACTTGACCCTACAGGGAGAAAACGAAATCATTTTAAAGTATCAATCAAGTGTTTTTATTTTCTTCTGTCGAGGCAAGTTGGACTTCAGGGAGAGGGAAGTGACAGATATTTAAGTACAATTTGATTTGTCTTTGTCTCCCTATAGCTCTCAGAACAATGTCTTCACAGAGGAAAATGCCAACAAACACAGAATCAGCACCATTATGTCTGGATTGTGCTGAATGGGCACCTTATTGACATTTGAAAAACTATAATTTTTGCTGCCCCAAACCAGTCTGTAAGGTCCAGATACTGCAGGAAACAAATCTATTTCAGAGATGAAAGCAAGTGGGCTTCCTTCACTTGTCTTTCTGATGGTCTTACTGCTTCTTAGCATCAGCCAAAACTATGAGGCTCAAATGTTCATTGCCTACCATGTGACATTTCTGAGGATGTCTCTGCTATAAGTTCAGCAGAACTCAGAGCCAGAAGAGTAGCCATTTGCCGCTGATGTGGATAGATCAGGGACATCTCTTGTGAGACTTCTCTCTGCTCATGCTTCTTGGGGCTGGCATTCTATTTGTGCTTCCACCAATGCAAGCCTGAGACAAGCATCAAAGATGCTGGTGTTGAAGAGGGAAGAGGACATACTGAGGCAGGAGAAAGGCCTTCAGAATGCAGGTCAGAGTGAGCGGAAGTGTCTCTTCTTTGCGTTTTGCTTCTGGGTTGCCGGATAGTACCTCTGAAACGTCTTAACTTGTGAAGGGGGACTGGCTGCGGGTTGGGGATCAGCTCTCCATTACTTTAGAGGAAGTCACTCATTGGCAGCCACGATTCTTCTCAGCCCTCCGAGAAAGGAGACGTAATGTAGTTCATGGGAAGATGGAGATGGCGAGCATTCTAGAATCTCTGTTCCAAACTTCAGATCTAGCCTGGTGGCCACTTAAATGTATGATTCAAAAGCTTTTCGCACAGAGAGGGAGGGAAAGCAAGTGTGAGCAAGGAAGGGAGAATAGGAGGAGAGAGGAGGGGGCAGCAAGGCTGATTTCCTTGGAAACTTACATCCTTAATTTAGCCCAGTAATTCTCAAACGTTAACGTGCATTAGAATCGCCTAGGGGGGTGTGATAAAAGATGATTAGGCTCCCCAAATGAAATTTTCTAATTCTGTAGGTCTGAAAGGGAAACCCAATTTTGCACTTTCCAGGGGATGCTGCTGCTGTTGATCAGAGACCACATACTGAGAAATACTGCCCTAATTCACTGCCAGCTTTAGGTCTTTATAAGTTTAGGGGCAGCAAGGCTGATTTCCTTGGAAACTTACATCCTTAATTTAGCCCAGTAATTCTCAAACGTTAACGTGCATTAGAATCGCCTAGGGGGGTGTGATAAAAAGATGATTAGGCTCCCCAAATGAAATTTTCTAATTCTGTAGGTCTGAAAGGGAAACCCAATTTTGCACTTTCCAGGGGATGCTGCTGCTGTTGATCAGAGACCACATACTGAGAAATACTGCCCTAATTCACTGCCAGCTTTAGGTCTTTATAAGTTTAGAGTTTGGTTGAGGAGGGTGTTCATTCCTTTATCTGTTCATGCATTCATTCGCTCACCACATATTTTGTGAGAATCTACAATGGTCTGGCACTGTATACGTCAGTGGTTCTCAGACTTTAGTGGGTATAAGAGTCCCCTGGAGAATTGACAGGGCTCACAGAGGGTCAGTCTCACTAAAGAGGACGGGATATGAGTCTATATCTTTATCAAGTTCTCCAACTTTGGTGGGTTTGAGAATCACTGGTATGAGGCAATGAAAATAAAAAGATGTGAATGAAGAATTGTTGCATTTAAACAATCGAGTTTAGTTGAGGGGACTAGAGAAATGAAAGAGAAAATAAACCAAAAAGTAAAAATTACCAAGCAATACATAAATCATTGATTAATGAATTGGTTGCTATGGGAGACCATGAAAGAGGCATTCACTCAGACAAGGAAGCTTGGAGAGACCATGTATACAGAGAGGTTGAGATGAAGTGTGGGTGGCTGGACGGAGAATTAAGGATTGTGTCTGAGCCTTAGGGTGAGAAATGGAGGGGTATGTGGATTCGTGAGGGTTCTCAGGTCAGAACCCAGAGTCCCTTATTAAGTCTTCCTCCTTTTTTAAGCATATTTTAAGTGCTCAGGCCCTCTATGCTGGTCAGGCCTTGGTATAATGCCATGAGTAAGGAACATGGCCCTGATGTAGTCACTTGGTAACTCCTTTGGGAAATAGATAAAAAAGCAGATAATCACAATGTAATCATATACACCCTATAGGAAAGGAAGTCTGGAAGTCTTGTAAGAAGAACAACTCACCATACTTTGGGGAGTCTTGGAACCATTCATCATGTAAAACCCAAGCTGGGTCTTAAACTATTTCAACTGGGGGAGAAGCATGTCCTAAAGTATGGAGATATCAAAGATCTTGGGCTCAGGTACTGATAGGCCTCAGATGCTAGCTAAAGAGTTTGGGCATTGGCTCTCAGGCAGAAGCAACTCGATAGAACATTTCATTTAGGAAAACTGCACAAAGTCTTTCTTTAAGAAGTGATGTCTGGAGGTATGGTTAAGAGTAGACTCAAAAGGAAGACAGCAGCATGGTTATTGCTTTATAATCACCTGAATGAGAGATTATTAGGCTTGAACTTTCAGCATCGGTGATAGAAGGAAAGGCCCTTTTGGTATGTATTTCTGAGTTCTGAGTTGCAGGACTTAATCAGCAATGGAACGTGAATTTAGTTTTGATTTGCTGATTTTGAAATATCTGTAGGACTTGTTTGATGCTTGGGCAAGAAATTAGGAGTAGAAATATCTAAGAAAGTTATCAACTTAGAGATGGTGGTTGGGTAAGAAGAATGTGAAAAAGGTCAAACAGGATGAGTGTGTAGAAGGGGAAGATCAAACAAAAGCAGACCCTGGTAATACTCCAATTTGAGGAGTGACTGGAGAATATGTCAGGGAAGGAGATAGGTTGAGTGGAACAGAGCAGAACCTTTGAATGGGTCAGAGTTTCTTTCTTTGTTGTTTTTAATTTCCAAAGACTTTAGTCTTGAGAGAGAGAGGACCTTCCAATAGGCCATGGTCACAATACACTCCTATATCCTCTATTTTCACGTGCTGTTGGTCTTGGCATTCTGGACATGCACACACAAAGTTCTGATGTGTTTTTCAAGCTGCTGAGGCCAGGATGCAAACTGTGGTTGGCCATGTGGAATCTGGTTCCTTAACCACTGAGCTACAGGGCCAGCCCTGTATTGATAGGCTTCATATACCACGCTAAAGAGTTGGGGCATTAGCCTTCAGGTATAAGGAACTCAACAGAAAATTTCAGTTAGAAAAGTCATACAAAGTCTTTCTTTCTGGGTCAGGGTTTCTAAAAGAGCCTAAGGGGCATGTTAAAGGATACTTTAGGAAGTGTTCCGCCCAGGTAATATATTTGGCTTATTAATGGGTTACACCCTTAACTGCATAATAACTCAGGATCAAAGAAAACACAACTAAGACCTAGATACCTAATGAAAATAAAACAGCAATAACTTCTATTTACTGAGTGTCAATTTTGCCAGATCTCATGGCAGACACTCCATGAATATGATTTCCCAACCCACGTAGACATAAGATAGGTGTTTAAAAATACAAATACTATTCATATACTCTTTGTATGTTTTTTATCACATTCAGCACCATTTCTATCCTTTTTTTCAGTAAATCTATTAGCTTTTGGGCTGCTAGATGATAATAATCACCTCTTTAGGGAGATCAGGATTCAGGTATCTTAAATGCCGCAAATTAGATCCTCACTGCTTTGAGGAAAATGCCCACTGAAGCTAAACATCTTCTGTATTTTCTGTAAAATCCTTCAGCACTCATAGTTATTATAAAATCTTTAACACATATGTGTGTGCTTGTTCTTAATAAAATAAGGCAGACGAGTCTATAATTTAGTCTATATTTTAAAATGCTAAATAATCATCAGCTTTCTTATCTATTGGTCTGTTTCTCAGAAATAAGTGGTAAATTTTAAGGGTATGCATCGCCTCTTTTTTTTTTTTTTTGAGAGTTTTTTTTGCTATAGGGCGCGTGCGCTCGCCAGACAGACAGAGAGAGACATAGAGACAGAAAGCGAGAAATCACCCCTCAGGGGGGGTGGTCACGCCGCAATCCCTTCTCCTCCATTCTCCTCTCGGGATCTTGGGCACGTACGCACACGCGCCCGGCGTGAGTTTTAAGCCACCGGGTCTGGGACGCGAACCACGGTCGACTACGTGGGAGTCCAGCGACATAGCCATTACGCTAACTGCTGGTTCCCAGCATCGCCTCTTTTTTGAGTCCCCTACAGTGCTAGTAAACTGTAGGATCTCCATTTATGTACCTTAACTGAATAGAAGAAAGGCCTAATTGACATCAATTTTATGTTCAACAAAGAAAAAGAATAAACATTATTTTTAGTTCTTCTCTCTTAGAAATCAGTGAGATGCATAAAGAGGGGGGATTTCAGTGAGTTAGAAGACAATGTCTAGGATAACCAGGTGCCATCAGTCAGGGGACATACAAACCTACCCACTCACCTACCTGACCTGATCATTTCTACTCAACTACCTACCCACTCACCTACCTGACCTGATCATATCTACTCAACTACCTACCCACTCACCTACCTGACCTGATCATATCTACTCAACTACCTACCCACTCACCTACCTGACCTGATCATATCTACTCAACTACCTACCCATTTATCTACCTGACCTACATGCTTACTCAACTCCCTCTGATTTCAGATTATCTTGTGAATTTTGACCTGTACACAATGAGGAAGCTGCTTCAACTAAGCCCCTGAAAATGCCTCCCAGGAGCTATGCTCTGCCCTTCTTCCCAGAATTCACCCTCATCACTTGATGTTGCAAGAACCAAAATGGCACTCCCTTTAGAGGCTCATCTGCATCTTGCCTGCAAGCTCCATTCCAGCAGGGACTAGAACAGTGGGACTGTTAACTGGGTGCAGGCTATACTAAGTGACAATGTGAATTGTAAGGTCTTTGTTTCTTTGCAAGAGACATGCTGGCTTTCAGCATGGGTTGTAGATTTGTATGATGTCCTGGAGCATTTACAGAAATTCTGGTTGGGACACCAGAGAGAGGATGATAACAGATCACAGAGATGCATAGAACTGTCAGTTTAAATCATATAAAACTCAGGAGTGGAGTCTGGTAGGGAAATGTCCCGTGGAGAGAGGCCCCACTGAGTCCTGAGTCAAACACCTTTGGGAAGAAGAGTTTTGTAAAATCAAAGGGTGAGGCTTGTCTTAGAGACAAAGAACTGAGAAAATATGAGAAATAGTTTCATCCTTGAACTGGGCTGTAGCTTGAAAGAGAACTGGAACCAAGCAGAACTTCCCTGATTCTGTCCACTGGTTGAGCCAAACATTTCTACGTGTTGACTGATATGTTATCTAATATTGTTGAGGGGGTGAAAAAGTGGGGGTACATGGGCAGAGTTAAGGAGTATGAGGCCAACAGGATGGTCTTTAAGAGGAAAATAAAATGATCCTAGCTGTTGGATTAACTCTTATTGGCCCAGAAAGTTCACTCTTAATGGCTCACAGAATGTTGGGTTTCCATTTGGAGGTTGGTTGGGTCACAACAGATCTTGTGAGGCATTTAGGATGGAACCCCAACACTGCAGTGTCTGAGGTCAGCCCTGCCAAAACCACCATTAGTGAATTGAGGGAGGAGGATAATTACAGAGGTTCTGTGAGGCGATTCAGAGCCACTGCCGGAGCTGCTCTTCTTTGTTCTCTGGGCCAGGGAGGTGCCGAAGCGCAGGGCCTCATAGACAGGGTCCACCTTATTGCCACAGGCTGCAACAGAAGAGAAAGCTCATCTGAGAAAGTTCATCTGAGGGAACTTGGCCAACCACCTACCTCATCTCCAGGTTAACAGCAACCAGGAAACCAGTTCTATACAGCAGATATGATAGTCCCTGGAAAGGTGGGGCTTTCTGTGGTCAAGCTTTCCTCACAGATGAGCCCTCACCCCAACACGCTCCCATGTTCCAGGTCCCTCCACCACGCCCAGCACTTCTGACTAGAAGTCTGCTTCCAAACTCTTCCTGATAGATTGTTTTGCTTCTTTCATTATCCATCCCTGAGACTCCAATGTCAAGGTTCTTCCCAGAGACCAGCTTTATTTCTTCTAGTAGGAATCTCTGCTTACCAAGGTACAAAGCTTCAAGACACGAATTTTGCAGTAGAAGATAAGAGTTTTTAAAAGAATTTGACATTATCGGGCCTGATGTATTTCTAATTAAAAATTTTCTCGTTTATAATTTGTCCCCCACTAGAAAGGCAAAAATAGATGTAGAGATTTTCAGAGAGAGAGAAAAAAAGAACTAAACTGAAAGATACTGTTCAAGAAGAAATCCAAGCCAGAAATATCTATAAATATAGGACATTTTTTGGTCCTCATTAAAGAATAATATATTCACTGAGTTCCTATAATCTGTGTATTTTTTTACAACAATTATGAACATTACTAAATCACTGTTCTTATTTCATAAGGTATAACAGGCCAAGTAATTTGTTGAAAGACACACAGTTGGTCAGTGGGGGAACCTGATATTAACAGACCCTGGGACTTAGGTATTTTTCAAGTTTAATCAGAGGATGAAACTTCCTGGGTATCTGGTATACCTTGAATACCTTCCAGAAAAACAAATGATCACACCCAAATATACAACAAATACACAAAACTACCCCACTGGTTTTGTAGCCCTAGGGAACAGCAGTTAACTTTGCTGATTAAAACCCAACTCAACCCAACCCTGTCCCAACTCACCAATGGGCATAACTTCTTTAATGCATCCAAACTGTTCATGAATGAGCAAGGGGGAGCTGTAGTAACGCCGAAACCCCTTTGGCTGGAGAAAGAATGAGAGAAAGGGCTTAAGAGATGGAGAAAACCACACCAGAGTCCTAAAAGTAAAACGAGCTTGTCTCTCCAAGGGCACTTCCTTCTTGTTTCTCTTGAAGATACTGACTTATCCTATAATTCTACAATTTATCTCCAACAAGAGAGTGGGAGGAGGTAGGTGTAAGTGGAAATAAGTGACTTATAGTTCACTCAGAAAGCAAGACCCTGGGCCTGCTTCTCCTCCTGCAGTGTCCTGCAGTCTTTCATGTCCAGAATCCTAATTACCTCCAGGATACTATGCATTATTTCACCAGTGTTTATTACTGTGGCTTACTGAACTCATAACAGGCATGCGCATGGGAAAGCAGATCTCAAAGAGAAGCTTAAAAGCCCCTGCAAAGCTGAAGAGTTTTACCAGACTCGTTGCTCTCTGTTTTATGTTTTTCTGACCTCATTTATGGTCTCTGCATTGGTTTGTGAGAATCACTACTGGAGAATGAGAAGGCAAAGTGGTAAGGCAGGAGTTTGAGAGAAGAGAACATCGTAAATCAGAGTGGAAAGATGATGTCTCTAAAACCTGGACTTATATTTCAGTGTAAGATGGAAACTTACTAGCCCAGTCTCTACTGGATACCCAGACTCCTCACCAAGGTTCTTGGTTAGTAATGTCCTACTTTGTTTGAACATGTCAGTGATGGAAGGGTGATGGGTAGGCAGGAGTACTCACTAACACTACAGGCAGGTCTTTGGTGACATTAGCTCTGATTGTTAAGAACTGATACTCATTGGTCCTCATTATTTTGCCTGGAACAACAAAGGACTACCCAATTACTCTTCCATGTGACAGGACTTACATTTTTAAAGACGGCTGTTATGGGCTATTTAATGATTCTGCAGGGCAGATATTCTTTTTTTTCTACAAAAATTGTTGGGTATCCTAGTTTCAAATGCCATAAATGGTGCTCTGGGTTGGAATCTCATCCATTTTACAATACTCTTGAGATGTTATGATGAGCCCAGAATGGCCAGAGCTCAGCCTCCCTTGGTTTGGCCAACATAACTCTGCTAAAGTGGTACAGACATTTATTATTCACTCCATCTTTGTGGGAAGGAGGGTTAGCTCTAGTGCTTTCTTGACACCCACTGAGCTGACATTAACTAAACACTATGGTGATCAGCCACCTTAATTTGCCTAGGGCTGAGGGGGGTCCTGGGACACATGATTAACTTTCAAAACTTGAATGTGAATTTTAAAAACCAAGATGTAAGACTTCCCAGGCTAAAACTGAGAGAAGTCACTCCACTTCAATGGAGGGATTTGTCTAGTAGGTTGACAAAGCAACCCCTTCTGTCCTGTTATTCTGACAATCAGGAAGCCAAGTTGGCAGGCCAGGTAGAGTACATGCCTCAGGGATGCAGGGAAGGAGTTTGGAGAAAGTGAGCTCATTGGGACCGGCAAGTGCCCTGAGGCTCACTCCTGGAAGAAGCCCTTACCAGCTTGCCCATGCACCGCTGGGGTGCTAGGCCATCAGTGCACTTGTGGTGGATGCTCATCTTACAGGCTTTGCAGCGTAGTCCATGCTTAGCGTTTGTTCCTGTCAGGTACATGGCAAACCGTGGTTAGGATACAACCTGCCCTTCCCTGCTAATTAGTCTGAAGTCACTGACAAAGAGGTTACTCCTATAACCAGGTCATTCTTTTCTATGGATTTTTATGAAGCTTTTCAAAATGGACAGAATACTATAGTCAATTCTCTTACCTTCTCTCCTATCTTCTATCTAAGGCATAAGCTCTGGTTCTCTCCATTTCTATTTTATTCATAACTCCAGCAAATCTAAGCCTCCTCTACTTCCTTTGCTCTCTCAGTTCAAGCGAGCACATTCTATGTTCTCTGCTGTTCATATTAGTTATTCATTTCTGCTTGTCTGTGTCTTACTGAATAGGGCAAGTCCTGGAATCTCATCTACTTTCACTTATCCTCTGCTCACAAGGTCTAAATTCTTGGACGAACTGTCAGGAAGATAGCTCATACAAGGGGAATGAACAGCAGGGTCTGTGTGACAGTGGGCTGACAGTGCTAAAGTGGGGAAGAGGGGACTAGACATCAACCTCTGCTAGGGAAAG